ACTGTACCAAAATAAAAATGTCAACAAATGTTTACTATTTATATTTATCGTAACTATCCATTATGTTTTACAAATTATTTTGGACAATAATATAATTGGAATTAATAGCATTTAATAATATTTATACAATTATTATATTATTATGATTATATTATATTATTTTTTTAATTAAATAATTTTTAAGTTCATTTGTTTAGTTGATGCTGAAATATATTACGTTTAATTGTAATTAAATTAAAATAATTGCGAAGAGGCTTAGCAAAGTCGCGGCGCTAAGGACCGTGGGTTCGAATTTCGCATGGAACTAGTGTTTTTATGGCCTACAAATAATTGTTCCAGGTTTGGATGTCTGTCCTTGCGAAATTTATGTATGTTAACTGTCTCTACGATACAAGGGAAAATCTTAGTGTGAGGGTAACGTTGTTTATAAAAAATAAGAAAATAGGTATGTGAAAGGAATTTGCTGTACTTTGCTGTACGTTATTTTGTGGAAACGTGCTGTTTCCACAAAATAACGTACACGGTACACGTACACGTACGGTTCGGGAAATTACGACACATCTTCTCGTCAGGTATACCTCAATCTCTGAAAACTAAAATGTATGTACAACCAGTGCATGTTGCCAGTGATGACTTACGGATCAGAGACGTGGTCCTTCACTGCTGGCCGTATGAGGACGCTCAAGGTTGCTCAGCGAGCTATGGAGAGGGCTATGCTCGGAGTTTCTCTGCGTGATAGGCTCAGAAATGAGGATATCCGCAGTAAAACCAGAGTGACCGACATAGCCCAACGGATTAGTAAGCTGAAGTGGCAATGGGCCGGCCATATAGCTCGAAGAACCGATAACCGATGGGGAAGAAAGGTTCTCGAGTGGCAGCCTCGTACCGGTAGGCGTAGTGTAGGGCGACCCCCCACTAGATGCAGTGACGACCTGGTAAGACATGCAGGAAGTCGATGGATGCAGGTGGCTCAGGACCGTGTTTTGTGGCATTACTTAGGGGGAGGCCTATGTTCAGCAGTGGACTTGTGAAGGGCTGTAATATGATGATGATGTGCTGTTTTTGTTTTATTATGTCTGTATTTTATATGGGGTAGTGGATATTCTTACATCACCACTAAACGTCACGATATAATCCGTAGGAGTCGTAAGAACCGTCAGAGATAAACTGAACCAGGATATGGGCAGCAGAATCTTTCTGATAGCAACAAAAAAGGATACTGCGGTTGCCACCTGCCACCCTGCTTGCCAAGCGTGCTAGTGGTGGGTATATAACACTATCTATGAACCAATCTATGTGGGAGCCCAATGTTCGACAGTGACTTTTAAGTTTTGTATTTGTATAACGACCATATAAAAAATTACACAAATTTTGTGTTTATTATGTACGTACAAGCTCAGAGTTACAGTAGTTTTAAACAACCTTTTTTTTTAAACGCAACGCATCTTTCTAGGTATTGTGTCCCACATACATTTTTATGGATATTCTTATGGATTGTTTCAGTGCTCTGAAAGCTCAGAAAGTAGAAACATTACAAAACATCTAAAAGCCCTTACTTGTCAAGAATATAATTTAAATATTTCCTTTTAATGTGATAAAAAAACAACTTTTATGTAAATATCTAGTCTTAAATGTACTATATGTAAATTATTGTTAATGTAAAATATAAACCAATAGAACGTGAAGGTAATTGTTTTAATCTTATCGATCTATCAACTCCTTTTTAGCTCCCGTCGAAAATATAAGGGTGTTATAAGCTTGTAGCGTATATTTGTGTGTCTGTCTATGGCATCATAGCTCCTGCACGGATGACCCTATTTTGATTAAGCTTTATCGTTTAAAAGGTGTCTTAATCGAGAGTGCTCTTAGCTAAGTTTCAAGAATATCTGTTCATCCGTTTGGAGATCGCCAGCTTTTAGTTCGTGTTTTTTTTTAATTTTAAATTTAAGTTAAAACTAAATAAATATTTAAACGTTTAATTCGTTGTAAACTTTAAGGGGAGTAAAATTCATTTTTCCGTCAAGGAATTCTCAGTAGTAGCAGCCCAGAGTCAGGAAATTCAGCCCGGAGAAGCACTTGAAGCCGTTGGTTCTGCATCTGACCTTTTTCCTGTCCTGTCAGATTCTCGCTCCAACGAACTATGAGAGTGTTGGAATAGAGAGTGCACCTCACAATTGTGCACTAAAATCTGCTCTGTAGTCTATATGTAATATATATAACATTTTATCCTTGATTAAGAATCAAAATGCAGATGCGTTGTCAATTTTGCAGAGTAAATGACCAATAAATCATTGATTCTTACACCCATTTGTACTGTGGAACTTGTGAAGGGTTCTGATGATGTAGATAATGTTTCAAATAGATATTTAATTTATTAGACGAATATTTCCTATTTCGATAATATAACTTAATGAGATTAATAATCTGACTTTATCTGCGCGAAGCCGCGCTCGGAACTTCACAGTCGTCATAGCGATTATGAAAACTATACCAATATGATTTTCATTCGTTCATTTTTACATCTGGCATTAAAAAAGCCAGTTTTAATGAATTTTTAATGACCGGGCTGGTTACCGGTTCAAGCTTTTCTTTTGCATCAGCTTGAAGACGGCCGCTGGTGTTGATCTTTTGTTAACGTACAACCTCACACAATGTTAAAATAGTTTGGAAAATCCAAAAATGCAAGCCTCATGAGCGTTTTTATTTTGAAAAAAAAATCTTTTAAACGTCTATGAGTGATAACAACTGAGGAAAAATGGAAACTTATTCAGAAAGATTTATTTCATTTATATATTTTTATGAAACGTGAAGTCAAACTACATACATTTTACGTAAATAAAACACAATAAACGATTTAAAAAAATATGCTGACTTTACGTTTTAATATATCTAGTTTTCAAAACATCCCTTTTTGTTTTATCATTGATTTAGTGTTTAAATTGAGACATACTAACAATTTTATATTGCAAAATCGTCACACAGTAGCATCTCGAGAGTAGAGCACTCCCACACGTTCACGCATTGTGAAGCAAGCTATGGTAGTGCATATAGTAGTTTCACTTAAAATACATTTTTTTAAATATAGTATTTGGAGCCCTAATATAATATATATGGAATGTAATATGGTAGTCTCGGTATTAGTGACGGATACTTTAAGAACAATATCAGTTAAGTGTAAAAATTTCCGTACTTCAAGCTGAAATTCTACTCCAAATTTTTCTATTTGTAGTTCTTCTCCAAAATTCGCGGTATCGAATTTTATTTACCATAATAATTCCTCAATAAATCTTTACACGATAAAATTCCTCACTGTAACTTGACACAATAAAATTCAGCATATCGTTGGGGAGGATGCCAGTTTGAAGGACCCAAAAAATTACCAAGCAAACCGGTTTCGAAAAAAAAGAGGAAGAATAAAAATAAATACAAACCATTATAAAAATTTTATTACAACACCCTCAGTCTATATTTACAAAATTATATTTACAATGTACGAATAACTTAACAGCTAAATATTTTAACAATAGTATCACAATTTCTAGATAATTCTAAGTAAATAAATTTCACTGTTTTCAACAGCAACAACAACTGTTTTTCACACAAATACCATTAAAACAGTGTAGTTGTTGGCTTTTACTAAAGCCATTAAAGATTTCAGAAGACGAATTAATTGTGATAAAGTTTTCGCCATGTTGTGGCGGCGTAAGAGAGTCCTTTACCTCATTATCCTGTAGGTATCGTAAGAAACGACACAGTGATTAAGAACGGGAGATGGGCATTGGGTAGCATCTTCTTAATAACAATTTAAAATAATAAAAACAAAACTTGATCTATGGAGTAATTAATGAGGAAAGCCTATGCTTTGCAGTGGACTTTTGATCGGCTGTGATGAATAGTATTACGTGATTTAAAAAGTCTGAAGCCCACCACACGTACGAAAATCCAGTCTTTAGAAATGCCAGAACTTATAAGTATTCAGAATTTAATCAATTCACATGATCAAAACTTTTTAAATGTGAACTAAATATGGATATAGATTACATATTTAATTATAGTACCTTAAACACCATATTGTATTCAGAATTTCTAGAAAATTCTTACCTGTACAGACCTAAATAATATATAAATACTTTCTTCAATATTGTTTTGAAAATAAAAATTAATGTACTGAATCTATAGCCAGAGATTTAAAAGGTTTTGAACTTAATATAAGATTTAAATTAGTGTAACAACGCTGGCTTGTCATAAATATATTATAGAATATCATATAAAATGCATACAAGTATTGAAGAAGTTCATATTTTGAAATAATTATAATTAGTTGCTTTAAATAAACTTGAGCAAATAAAGATGATGGGAACTACTACGAGATACATTGAATTTCTTAAACAAACGCAAATTTCAAACTAAATAAATTTTATTTTGTTAACCTATCTATAACTGGTTAAAGCTTTCACTTTTTTACAATTTAAATGAGACATTGAAAATAAAAAAATATACAAAAGTCATTAATAAACAAGTACCGGATAACAAGATGATAGGAATTTTTTCTCAGTTATATAGATCAAATGTAGCCTCAATAATAATTCCGTGAGCTATGACAACTTTTTTCATTTATTGGATCGTGTTGTGCAGAAACATATTGTTGTGGCCAGGGTTGAATATGGCCCTGTTTTAGTTTATTTTAAATTATGAAAGACTTCTGAATAAGAAGTAATACCAAAGTCTACATTTAAAAAAAAATTATATACATAACATCATATAATAGGGCTTCTGCCAAAAAAAAAACACATTAACAATCAAATCTGAATAACTTTGTTTTTGTGGCTTGAAATATTTCTGCACAACACTTCAATTACATAGATAGTAGCATGCCGATAGTGGCAGGTACAGCTTCATTATAATAGCATTGGTTCCGTCAACTAATCTTTTCGCTATACAGTTATACTAATTCCTGTAAGAATTTTTACTTCTTTATTTTTTAATTTATCATTTCTATTTCATGAATCTCCGAACATATCAGGCACGTCTCTGTCTTCTTCAGTTATTGAGAGAAGTGACACAGCTTGTTTTGCAAGATCATCGTCATCTCTGAATCCGCAATTATCAGACATATTAAGAATGACACTACTTCTTCTTCTCTCACTACTTTTCCTTCTACTTTTAGGTTTTTCGTCTTGTTGTATTAGTTTATACTTAGGTTTCCACATTCGATAGAAGCCCTGGAGCGAGAAGAATACTCCAATGATGAAGAGCAACACTTCTATTGTGATAACTAGCGGCGGAGCGATGACAAAACGAAGTCGTAACAATTCAATTACATTCGGAGGTGCCTCTTTACAAAACTGGAACAAATTATAAATATTACATACAACTCGCTTTTATAAATATAATTAAGTTAATGACTGTATAATGTAAGTCTAATGGTTGTAAGCGTGATGGCTAATCATGTGACCCCAGGTTCCATTCCCGGGTCGGACCAAAAATTAGTTACTGAGATTTTCTGCCAAGAAGTTATAAGTAGCAGCCTGGAGTCAGAAAGCTGGTGGTGTTTTACCCCATACCTCTGGAAGCACGTAAAGTCGTTGACACTGCGCCTGATCTCCCTCCGCTCATGTCAGATTACCGTACCGTAGGACTATGAGAATGAGTGAATAGAGAGCACACCTGTTCCTACACACATGATAATCCTATCCGACACAGATGGCTTTATGAGACTTGCTGACGTGACCGAAATTCGGTTTGAAGGATGTAATTATTATTATAAATGTTGTAGAGACCGTGTGTACCATGTAGTGGCGGTGTAAGAATACCCCTTAACTCGTATGGTTTCTGTGATTGTCGAAAAGGTAACAGAGGGGAACAAACCTGGAAACGGACGGCAGTTTTCTCTAATATCAATTAAAATAATAGAATAATAACTGCGCTGTGGGTATTTTGGCAAATGTAAATGTCAATCTAGAATAAAAAGTGGGGGGTGGGAAGAGGACGAATGTGTTACTTTATACCATATCAATTATAATTATGAACCCATTAGATTTATGACCACGGTAAAATAGCAGTATAATATTATTAGTGTTTTGTAGGATGAGTGGTAAGAACCTTTTACAGGTAACGACGCTCTCGACCTAAGTCCTCGAGGGGAACAACTCATCCGTATTTTGATTTGTAACTTAGGGTAGATATATGTGTCTTAGGACCACAGAACCCACCTTCAAACAGTTGCACTTGGTACTTGTTTGTCAGACTTATGTTTATTGGAATAAAAATTAAGACTTACCAATGACAAGCGTAAGATAGGCAGAACCTTATCCTTCAGGGGTTTTGTGACCGGGTTTCCTAGAGAAGTCCTCACAGCGATGTTCACCTGGATATTGATCGATATAGCAAGGGGGACGCCAATTGTCTGTTAAGGAAAAAAACGATTCAAATGAATATTAAAACAAGTTAAATTAATTACATATAAATAATTTTTGCTAAGGCATATTTTAACGAAGAAAGCTCCGAAATACAGAAGCTCGAAGAAGAAGACGGCACTTGCTTTTTATTAAAAGTATTTTTTTACTTTTTTGAGTAATAATAGTAGTATAAGGAATATCACAAATTCAAGATAAAACTAAAACGTTGTCTAAATAGTTATATTAAAGTTTATTTATGACGTCCCGGGTTTGAATCCTGGGTCGGGCCAAAATCAGTTATTGGGTTTTTCTTTCAAGATATTATTTATTATTATTCTCCATTGAAGACTACGCCATGACCAACAGTCGGTCTAGAGTACGTTAAGTACGATATATATATATATATATATATATATATATGTATATATATAAATAATCTTAACGTACTCTAGACCGACTGTTGGTCATGGCGTAGTCTTCAATATATATTTATTCTATATATATTTATATCTTGAGGTAAGTGGGATTTGTTGCCTGGTCACCACCCATATCCGCCTTGTGCATTGGCGGATTGCAGTACCAGATGTCTTGCACCTTTGACTCTGCTACCTTCACCTGGGTGGGTATGGCGGTCTGGGTGTTTTACGTTTGGTGTTAACAAGGTGGTTATTCCGGCTTCTATAGGAATCCGACTTTTTGGCATTTCCCAAAGTTTATTCCCAAATCTATAGAAAGCCGATGTTTTGGCATATCCCAAAGTTTTTTATCAATCTATAGAAAGCTGATTTTTTTGGCATAACCGAAAGTTTATTCCACCATCTACATGAAGCCAGACATTTCCCAAGGTTATTACGCCAACTATAGGCAGCCATTTTTTATAATTTCCTAAGGTTATTCAGACATCTATAGGAAGCCGAGTTTTGGGCTATCCCTAAAGGGAAACCCTCATCTGCAGGATGCCGATTTTTTTGGCAAGGTGAAAAGTAATACCCCCATCTATAGAAATCCGATTTTTAGGTATTTATCAAAGTTTATTTCTCCATCTATAGAAAGCCGATTTTTTGGTATTTCGCAGAATTTATTCCTTCATCTATATGAAGCCGATTCTTAACTATCCAAAGTCGCCTCTTACAAGACCCACGGGGCGAACTGGGGTGGTGGATTTTATTACGCCGCAACAGTTAAATAACATACCGGTTCCACGTCGAGTAGCGATTTATATTTATCGCCGTCAGCGTGATCGAGGCCTTCGAAGTAAGTCCGTTGCACTGGGTCTGTGTCGATTAAGTGAGGTTTCGATAGAGTTATAGGAAAACCTGAAACAAGTGAGGTAAAGAATAAACCTATGTCCCATAAAAGCTATATTTGTCATAAATTCTATACGTGGTAAAGTCATGTTGCAACTATAATATAGTTGTAGTACGAATGAGTCGACCCGACTGAGGTAGGACCACGCTCTCACACAATACCAGAGTAAAATAGCAGTTGAATGGAATCAAGGCATTCCAGTAAAAAGAGTCTCTGACAACGCATCTTCATTTTGATTCTTGATCAAGGATAGATGTACAAAATAGAAAAGCTAAATTGCAAGAACAGTGTGGTGGTGCCATATAAATATCGGTAAATCCATTCCAACCGGTTGGTGTAAAATGAGGGGAAACTGACGGTATTTGTAAATGGCGAGAATAGGATATGCTAAAAAAAATTTTTATGGTTTCAAAAAATCTGATGGCACTATGTCTGGTCACCGGTGGACCGGAGGAGAGTAGACATAGCGTTATCCCCGATACAAAACTGTCTGTCATTTTTTCACCCCCTGGGAGGGGGGATCAGCGCACAAAAATACAATCGTATGTCACTACGAAACTCACACATAACAATGAAAACAATAAACTAACAACTTCAAATACTCATAAATACATTGTAATGGTGTCACTCGGTGATAGCGATAACTCGGACGATCGCTCGACCGATCTGCTTAAATACGAAGGCGATCGGCCTGTGTTGGTAAACAAACACGAAAGAACACGACTGTTATTATTGTAACTTTTAAGTTTAAAAAGAAGTAAATATCAATAAAGTGATTAAAATTACTTAATTTTGAAAGCTAACGCTATCTTTTTGTAAATTTGACGTGGTGGATCTGTTTTTGAAAAAAAAAACTGAACGATTCGGCATTTTTGTAGAGCGTCGGTTCAGCCGCATAACTAGATTTATTCTAGTGAGCAGTGCGGCTGCAGCTAGTCTTATTGTACGCATAGGACTGCGTGAACTTATAATTTGACAGAGTGGAACGCCTGCGTATGGCTCCAAACTGCTGGTGGCACGTGTTGCTCTATGGTAGTCCGATATAACAATAAAAAGACATCTCGCAACTTTGACGCTTTGTTTTAGTATTTTACACGCGACAAAAACGGATTGGTCATTCCACATTCTCTTAAAAACCGTAGGATCGGTCAAGTAATTGCATTATCCGACTCTTATTGCACCCACGGTACAAGATGGATTGACTTAACTTTCTGACACTGATATACACCACACAACACAAATAAGGAACATTCGAACGAAAGACAAAGTACTACCATCAGAAATGAGAGAAGGACTGTGCCCAGTAGAGGACTGTTACCTTTATTTCAACTTCCCATCTGGAAACTCTTAAAATAGATCTGATAGTTATTTTCAATGTTTATTTGATAGAGCGATTTTACAGCTATATTATTTTTGCAGCATAAGTGAGTCCGTGCTCTCATATACCTAATACCAGCGTAAAATAACGACATAATACTACTGTCTTTCGTATGCCGGATCGAGAGATTTGAGTATCCATTTTTACTCCAAACGGTCCATCATAGTTCTCAAGAGTGTTAATTAATTTGAATCTAATCAATAATAGATGTAGTCGTATATGGGCTATAGCTATTATATTATTGGAATGTAATTCGATCGAAACTTGACTGTTACGGATAGTATGAATGCACACACATATTTTTAACTTGATAATATTTTATCAGAGCGAGATCGAACCGAGAACGAACTGTGAACGGCATTATAATGAGGATCGGCTCTAATTACTCTTAAAAACTCGCCAAGAAGTGATAATATTATAATACTACTACTGTATAGTATACCATGTACATATACATGTATGTGTCTATTTTTTGGCACGCTCTGTAGCCTAAGAGGCTTGACGGATTGTAAAATATGGAGTGTCGTTGGATTCGTGTTACTTTGTTAGTGTTTTTTAATGTTGAGCTTTTTTAAAGAAACGTTCCCTTCACACTAGAAAGTCTTCTTTGTCGTGAAGGTGTTTTATATATGTAAAATGCACAGGGACCAATAACCAAACTGACATTATAAATACTATAAATACCAGCCGTATAAATACTTGTTCCGTGCTGGAATTAAACCCACAGATATTTTAGACTCGTAGTTACAGAGCCTGATTAAGTTTTCATGAAAATCGTTTCTGTAGTTTTATTGTAAGATGTACATGTATGTTTGGAAAATTTTGTGGGAAGAAACCAGCAAAAATCTCTTTTTTTATAAAATAACGGAGATAAAGGAGCACACACTCCACCTGATAGATGAACGCAGTGACAGGTGAAAGTGGATGCCGCAGCCCCAGATGCCCAAAGACATCTGCATTTACACTCAATTAAGAATCAAAATACAGATGCGTTGTCCCACATATACAGATAGAGTGTCTCGTTTCCAACAAATACGGTCTCCGGTTCTCTATACTCATCATACGAATCACAGCATTCAGCCACTTTACGCTAATATTCTGTGAAAGCGTGGTCCTACCCCGATCGAGCTGACTCATTCGTGCTACAACCACCATATAGATGCAGCCTGGCTCTACTACGTAAAAACCTGTGCAATTATTTTTATTAAATATTATGCAATTACTTATATAAATTTAAATAGAACTAGCATATTAGCCATCACCCATCACCGACCTTATTTTCATCCATGGATACCATAATATTATTACAACTCTTTTATACGGTTTCTGTATAATGAATTTTTTAAACTTGTTAATTGTTTGGACTAGGTATACACTTCAGACCGCAAAACGCACTACAGTTTGGTGGCAGACGCAGATCAGGATGCGATGCTACCCACACTGACTTCTAAGGGGAAAGAAGTACCAATCAGACTTATTGTTGAAAGTAGTTATTAAAATGAGCATGGATTTAAAGATCATATCGCAAGAGTGTCATTGTACATTATATATAACTTCCGCATTAATTTAACAACTGATTTTAAGAAGAAATTAGAACCTAAATAAATCTCTGAGATTTGTTAACCGATTAAATTTATGTTTTGTTAACTGTTAGATTATACTTTCAAATTAAAAAATTTCCATATAAATTTCAAGCATGTTCTATAATAACTAAAACCGGTTTATATATATTATAAATTATTCAATGAGACGTATTAGTATGAGCTAATGTAATAGTAGTGGTAGCCCTCGAACAAAAATGTTTTCGAAAAGGCAAGTTTAGTGCCATAGACATAGACCATACCCTTCGGAAAATTGTACACAAGACCGACGGGTACAATCTGCCACTGTGTCTTGCGTATGTGGACTATGAGAAATCATTTGATTCCGTCGGAATTAGGACTGTGCTGCAGTCCCGTCACAGGTGCCAAGTTGACTGTCGGTATATCGAAGTGCTAAAGTGTTTGTGAAATAGGGCTACGATGGCTATTCGAGTACAGAACCAGAGTACGAAACCTATCCAACTGCAGAGAGGTGTAAGACAAGATGAAGTTATATCCCCGAAACCATTCATCGCTGCATTGAAGGACGTTTTCAAGCTACTGAACTGGAAAGGATACGGTATTAACATCAAAGGTGAGTACATCACTTAACTTCGATTTTCCGATAGCCCTTATGGCAGAATCCTTGGAGGACCTAAGCAATATGCTCAGTAACCTCAGTAGTGCCCCTCAACGAATATATCTTAAGATGAACATGGACAAAACAAATATCATTTGTAATGTCATACCTATGTCCGTAGTTCTTGGGATAAATAGTCCGACTAAGTAAGTCCAACTTCTTCCTTAAATTTTTTGTGGGTAGGTATGCAACAAGTAACAGCTGTCTAATTAGCTCATATATTGCCGACTCTGCCGTTCACTTCTACAACATATATTTGCTTTATCACTCTTTCCTCATTCATTCTTTCTGCATGACCAAACCACCGAAGCACTCCTTTCTTAATCCTGATCACAACATCATCTTGCAAACTACACTCTTCTCTTATCACACAATTTCCCACCCTGTCAGTCAGATTTAGCCCTAACATACTCGTTAACGACCGGATTTCTACTGCGTTTATTCTACTTCCGTGCTTCTTCTGCTTTAAACTTTCACTACCATGTGTTAAAGTAGGGACTAACACAGCATTGTGAATTGCCATACGTGCCTTTTTTGGCACATTCTGACTTTCCTCAATTTTTTTATAGGATAGGGTGACAAACGAGCACAAAGTCCACCTGATGGTAAGTGGTTGCTGCGGTCCATAGACATCCACATCTATCCTCGATTACAAATTAAAATGCAGATGCGTTGTCACCCGTGAGGACTAAGATGGAATGCCTCGTTTCCAGTAAAAAGGGTCTCCGGTTCTCTCCACTCCGCTGCTCTTTCACGGTGGTATTTTGCGAGGGCGTGGTCCTTCCCCGGTCGAGCCGACCCATTCGTGCTACAACTATACTACCTAATATAACTGCAGCATGGCTCTACCACGTATAAAAATGGAGTGTAAATGCCCATTTACTCTATTTCCTGCCTGAACATAGGTCTTTAACATATATTTTCTAATGGAGGTGATATTTGCCATAGTTGCAACGCTTGTCAGGCGGGGTGGCCACCACAATTTTTCTTATTTTATTATTTTGGTATGTTATCAGGAAGATACTACCGATCATCTCCTGTTGTATATTCCTCTGTCGCCTCTTACAACCCCCGCGGTTTGATATAAGTAACAAACTCTATTCTACTTCCGGTGCCATCACTACACCGCGAACCTTGCAGTAATAATATCAATAACTTAAATTAAAATTAAAATAAAAACGAAACAAAAAGAGCGGATGATTTTTAAACTATTACGTGGATTACGTGGTAGAGCCATGTTGCAGCTATATTGTGCTTGCAGCACGAATGGGGCGGCTTAACCGGGGTAGGACCACGCTCTCACAGAATACCAGCGTAAAATAGCAACTTAATGCTGCTGTGTTTCGTATGTTAAGTGTAGAGAACCGGAGACCTTTTTTTACTAGAAACGAGGCATTCCATATCAGTCCTCAGGGCTGGCAACGCATCTGCGTTTTGATTTTTAATTGAAGATAAATGTAAATTTCTGTGGGCCATAGCATCCACTTACCGTCAGGTGGACTGTGTGCTCGCATGTCACTATAAAAAAAAACTGCTGACAGATTTTCTTGAAGCTAAAAACTGTTTCGATGAAGTCACCGTCCAACCAAAAACAACTAAATCAAAATCGGTTCACCCGTTTGTACGCTACGATGCTACAGACAGACACGCCAATACATAGATACACACGTTAAACATAAAACACCACTCTGTTTTCGTCGGGGGTCAAAAATAAATAGTGAAATGTCTAAAAGAGAGATATTCATAACGTACATAAATATTGGACATTAAAGAAAAGGTTAAGGTCTGCTGAGTCGTTGACACGTTATCAGTGTCGGCATGTGAGCAGGAACGATAATTCTGTGTCATATATACGTTCGATAATGTTTTAATTGTTTTCATTGCTGTTAACCGACAAGTTATTGGTTGATAATGTAATCATAACTCGAATATAAGTGAAGAGAAACGCAATATTTATGAAACATAACATTTACTTCGTGTATAAATTATTTTTAAATATTATTATATACTAGCAAACCACCAGCTTCTCTTTGCTTCGATCCATTAATGTGGCTCCGTTATTTATATTTATGATAATTATCGTAGATAATATATTTTAAAGATGATGGGTTGCAAGATGATGCGGTGACCAGGAAAAGAAAGGAATGCTTCGGTGGTTTGGTCATGTGGAAAGAATGAATGAGGAAAGACTGACAAAGCAAATATGTGTTGCAGAAGTGAATGGAAGAGTCGGAAAGGGACATCCTAGGCGAAAGTTTGTAGACCAAATTGGCGATATACTAAAAATGGGCCAAATTAAGAGTACCCTTAACCGACGAGCATGTATGCGTAGGTATATGGATGTGGAAGAGGCGAGAGAGGTATGTCAGGATCGTGCTAAATGGAAGTATTTAATCTCTGCCTACCCCTCTGGGTGACAGGCGTGAGTGTTTATGTATGTAATATATTTTATTAGGGTTTCAATTTCGCAAATAAATCTCTAAGTTTTTAGGATAAATTATAGTTTAGACCACTCCTCAAGTTAGTACCTACCCCTTTGTAAAGTTTCATCAAAATCAAATTTAACCACTCCAAAGGTTAGCCCGGGAAGACATTACGTAAATTAATAAAGTTCAGTTATTTCGACATAACGAACGGACCGTTCAATTTTATTTATGTACAATTTTTTTATATTACTTATGTACTTTATTAGTAATCTAACACTAGAGCATTTTAAATAGTTTGATTAAAATAAAAATTTCTGCTAAAACATTCCATAGATCGAAAAATATGTATATATATATATAGCAATTAATTCCTGAAAAATATCGAAGTATTGTCAAACATTAATTTAAATATAATATTTTAGTTATGTTAGAACGTAATATTTAATTATTGGAATAATTTATTCACTGGTTCCAAAGCCTGTATCGTATTTAATTTTCTATTTCCAATTTTGGAATTTAAAATTTCGTTTTTCAATTTATATTTTTAATCAAATATTATTTTTTTCTCCATTTAGTTTTTTTTTAAATCTATTTATTCATCATTTAAAAGTTGAATACAAAAGTACATATATCGATATTTCCATAAGGGTTTTAATAAAAAAAATTAAAAATTACGTTGTGTTGCAAATAGTTTTAAAATCGGTCTTAGTTTATAATTTTGGTAGCTTAGGAATTAAATAACTAGATAGTAGTGTAAATGACGAGTTGTGTCGGGCACAGGTAAGTTAGGATGTAGAAGTACTTCTCTTACAGGAACAATATTGCACCGTATGTGCTGTGTATAGCATTATAGTGCTTACGCAGTTAACGACGTCCAATACTTCAGACGTAATTAAAACCGGCAACGAGTGCATCATCTTTAATAACTGTAAAACAAGAAATTAGACTTACCATAGTAACAATTGCTGATGTCAATGAATCCATCAGGGAGGCAATTTTTCGAACACTCGCAGGCATATGGAGAGGTCTTGTTGAAGGCTGAATCTTGCAACTGGAATCTGGGTAAAATATAAAACAAATATCTGAATCACAGTTTCATTATAAAGCTTGGCTGAATCGTTGGTCTAATGGTTGTAAACACGACTACTGATCAGGAGGTCCCGGGTTCGAATCCCGGGTTGGGTCAAATAATTAGTTATTGAGTTTTTAAGTCAAGCAATTCTTAGTAGCTGCCTGAAATCAGGAAGTTCGCGGTGTCTCATCTCCGTGCATCGAAAAGCCGTTGGTCCTGCGCCTGATCTCTCTCCGTTCATGTCGGTTTGCCGTCCCATCTGATTATGAGAGTGAGAGAATTGAGAGTTCACTTGTGCTTGCATACTCTGTCCAGCAAAGTCAATGGTGGGGAAAATTTGGTACTACGGTCATCAATCGGCTTGTAAGTTTGATGTTAATCAGCAAGCATTTGATGATGGTAAGCCCTGCCTGTGACGACAGATGACTTTCACGGCCATTTAGAGAGAACTTTCGTGGGCTGATGTTAATGGTCATGATAATGAGATTTCTGCAATATAAACATGAATTACCTATACATAAATATAAATATAAAATACCTATAATAGTTGAATCCAAATTCTCCTTTAACCTCTTCGCGAAAAGAAAAAGGGTATATTCTGCAGGCCTGTCTCCTAAATATAGGGAAAACCGTGTCTTTTGAGATTTGAGGAGGTAACATAAAACCCTCAAAAGAGCCCTTGATTCGGTTGCATAGGTTACTGTAACAAAAGAAAATTTCTAATTATACATTTTTATAATTTAATGGATAACGTAGTAGATTTTGGTTAGGTTTTTTATTAGAGGTTACTAGCTAGATGTTTTCATAATGGTCTATTAACATTTGGAGTGGCTTGGGTCAAAAAGTGAGCACAGAAAGAGGAAGAAAAGAAGACTTGTATTCGCAAACCTACTGTCATATAAAATAATCCAAAAAATATATACACGTAGTTAAATTTCGAAGTAGACGTTTTATTTTTACAGTTTAAAGAAATATCAAAATTGGACTATAAAGGCTGACCCAAAGGATAAAGACTAAGATGCATTCATAAATTACATAACATAAACATAAACACTCACGCCTGTCACCCAGAGGGGTAGGCAGAGACTACAGACTTCCATTTAGCACGATCCTGACATACCTTTCTCGCCTCTTCCACATCCATATACCTACGCATACATGCTCGTCGGTTAAGGGTACTCTTAATTTGGCCCATTTTTTTGTATATTGCCAATTTGTTCGACAAACTTCCGCCTAGGACGTCCCTTTCCGACTCTTCCATTCACTTCTGCAACATATATTTGCTTTGTCAGACTTTCCGCATTCATTCTTTCTACATGACCAAACCACCGAAGCATTCCTTTCTTGATCATGGTCACTGCATCATCTTGCAAACCACACTCTTCTTTTATCACACAGTTTCTCACCCTGTCACTCAGATTTAGCCCTAACATACTCCTTAGCGACCGCATTTCTACTGCATTTATTCTACTCTCGTGCTTCTTCTGCCACACCCAACTTTCACTACCATACGTTAAAGTAGCGACTAATACAGCACTGTGAATTGCCATACGTGCCTTTTTTGACACATTCTGACTTTTCACAATAGAGTGTAGAGCCCCATTTACTTTATTTCCTGCATTCACTCGTCGTTCAATATCCTTATCATATCTCCCATCCCTGCTGAATACACATCCCAAATATACGAACTCATCCACTTGCTCAATTAACTCTCCTTCTATTCTTATTTCACATACCGTCTTGCTTTCATCTCTTTCAAAAACCATCACTTTCGTCTTACTTGCGTTCACTTTCATTCCCCTTTCTGTTATACCTGTTCATTAATGTAACCATCATTTGCAACTCGGCCGCCGACGACGCAAGTATGACTTGATCATCGGCGTACAAAAGGCATTTGATGGTTAACTCACCCATTCTTAACCCGCATTCTTCAACTTTCAAATTTTCCAAACAGCTGTCCATAAATAGGTTGAACAGCCACGGGGAAGCTACACAGCCCTGTCTGACACCTTTATGGATGCCAAACCAGTCCGAGTAGACCCCGTTGATTCTAACACAAGCACTCGAGTCCCTATACAGAGACTTTAATGCCTGTATCAAACCAGCGCTCAACCTAAATGCGTTCAGCGTTTGCCATAACACATCCCTGTCCACTCTGTCATAAGCTACTCTGTCATAAATTACGTTACACATTAAAGGGGATAAGGAGAATGAAAGAATGCGGAGTTATGAAAGTGTCATCATGCTAAAAGTATGAAACTCTGTGAGAAGAGTCGAGAAAGGAGTCAAAAAATATTATAGAGAGTCGAAATTTTTCTGTATTATAAGGTATTTCTGATTTATTTATGTTCCGATTGTATTAATTTGTCTTTTATTAAATTAGTTGTACTTCGGGGATGGTGGTACTGAATAAATTTTAAGAAAAAATTGCCACCCTAAGTATGGAAAAATAGGTGATGAAGTATTTAATTTCACTATTAACACATTCCAGTTTTTACCTTAAACGTGTAATATATCTGAGTTCACTCAAAAAAGTAACAAAATAAACTATGATAGAAATAAAAAACGACTTCAGAACAAAAAAAAAACTATTTCCACATAATGGTTTCAGAAGTTGGAACTGTACTCGCAATTTAATACTGTAATATATATTATGGTAGCGTAGCAGTGATATTATATTATGGTAGCACCGACTTCAGTAGCTATTGTGTGGAAATTATTTTAGTCTTTTTAGTTTTGAAGTGCGTTTTTACTTTTTTCGAGTTTATTTAAAAAATACAATCGAATTAAAGTATTCTAGAAAAACTTACCTTGTGTTAAGATCTACGAAGCCCTGCTCAACCAGTCCTGGTGAATCGTTCCAAGAATTAATAGAAAACCTTTTGGACTTATCTCTTAGCTCCACTTCAAATTGTTCCTCTCTATGTAGATAGAACTGTAAGAAACAAATTTTTGTCATATCATATGAAATATGAAAAATTGCTATATTAGTCATGTTTGTTGTATGCATTCAAGTATCACGTAAGTTGGTTGGGTCCAATTATGTCTTACCATTACTAACACACGAAGTGCTTTATTCCCTTATTGTAAATCTTACGTAACACAAAAATTATAGATTTTCTTATTTTATGTTATAGAAGGGAAGTGGTAGGTGTTTTAAAATTACTTAAAAATTGCTTACGCTATACTTGAACGTCTCTAGCCTATGTACTAACCCTGTCTAGAATTCCGATCTTCTGAAAGTCGATCCAACCGGGCAAGAATGTGTTAGCAATTGATACAATTGGGTCAGTGTATCCCCACAGCAATTCCTCTGCAGTCATATTCAAGAAGAGCTTGGAGCCAAGAGCACTTATGGAGTAGTAAGCTCCAGCGTTGGCTAGATATCCTAACTTATCTGCTATTAAGGTGCTGATGGCCTGCAAGAAAAGGGAGCGATTGTAAATTGACGAAAAATAAACACTTTTTTTACGTGGTAGAGCCACACTGCAGCGATATTATCGTTCTAGCACGAATGGGTCGACTCGACTGAGGTAAGACCACGCTGTTACAGAATACTAGAGTAAAATAGCAGCTTAGTGCTTTTGTGTTCTGTACGGTGGGTGAAAAATACCGGAGACCCTTTATATATTTTTATGAACGAATCGATAGTTAGTATAGACATATATACATTACATAAAATAGGAAAATAGCCTATAAACAGCCTCCACTGCTGAATATAGGCTTCCCCCCGCAGATTACTACATTGGGAGGGACGATTTTGCCGTAGTTAAGTTACATTTAGAAAGATGCTGCTGCGCATCTCTCTACTTCTTTGGCCTCTAACGATACCCACGGGATGATATAAGGGAGGGGATATTTTTACACTGCCACTACACAGTTTAATCGATAGTTCTATCTATTTAACTGTCAAATATCTATTTAACTCTTCTTTGCAAACGTAACAAACAAATACAATTTTTTACGAAAATACAAACACATTCAACAAACTTAACCTCATATTTAATCAGATTCAATCGGAAATAAACCAAAATCGTAATATGGAACGGAATATCGATAAAACTCAAATTTAAAATGAATAACAATGTCAGGACAGTCCAAAAAAATGTGCGTTAGAACAAATCTTTTTGCTTCCAATATCTAATGATAGCTTCCAACGGGTCAAAGTTAAAGTTACAGCCTATACACATCCCACTGCTGAACAGATCTCAGATCTCCTCTCATTTCTGAGATGGTTTTAGGGAGGGTAGGTTAGGGTAGCTTCCCACGGGTAATAGTATAGTATTCGAGTAAATTAATGATTTTTTTACGAGTACGACAATTTAGAATATTCGAGAAAAAGATTTGACATAGGGACGGAAAAAATTATTACTGTCAAAATTTTCATTATGACTTCTTTTACGAAATTATGATAATTTGAAAAACCTTGGCGACAGTGAATTCCATAGGGAGGTTAAGTAAAACTATCCACGATATATTACTCAAGTCGCTTTAGTAATGAACTTGCGTAATGTGTTTCATTTATTGAATGACAAATAGATTTGAGAAAATAACATTCTCATTCCGCAAGGTCTTTTCACACGTGCACAAAATACGTGCGTTTATAAAGTACGAGCAATGACCAATTCTGTATAAAAGAATATGCGAAGAACAAGTCTCTATTTTCAGCCTGACTTAAAAAAAAAATAGATTTTCTATACGACCATATATTTTTGTTTACTGATTTTCATGATTCTTTTAATTGATTAAATAGGTTATTTTACTTCAGGGGTAGTTCCGTATAAATAAGATAAAATAAAATTAAGGAATTTCTAATTTAAGAAATAATGGTTCTGCAAATTGGACCTAGCGGATTGAGACTCGATGGAAAAGATTGGTAAGCTCATTGGTGCCACGCTGCAGCTATATTATCGTTTTAGCACGAATTGGTTGGCTTGGCCGGGAAAGGACCACGCTCTCACAGAATACCAGCGTAAAATAGCAGCTTAATACTGCTGTGTTTCGTTGGTGATTGTAGAGATCCGGAGACCCTTTTCTACTGGAAACGAGGCATTCCAAATTAGTCATTAGTTGAGGATAGATGTGATTGTCTATGGGCCACAGCATCTACTTATCATCAGGTGGGTAGTGCGCTCGTTTGTCACCCTTATTCTATAAAAAAAGAATCTGGTTAAGCAAATCTAACCAATTTGCTTTTATACTTTCAATATTCTACAGGATATATTTTGGAGAGTGTGCGCAGGAATTGTATGACTTAATTACTCCCTATCCCTTCTTCCATCGGACAACTAAAATATCCTGCCGATCTTCTAGTCCCCCTCTTTTTATCGACAGTAAACATACCACATATTAAAGAAAACAGTTCACCTCGTCCATCATGCGTAATGCAAAGGAGAGCAGTAATTTGTCAGCATCTACCTTTCTATCTCATAAAAAAGTGTCTTTAAAGGGTAGTCCTGCTGTACCTACCATATAGTATCACAAATATAAATATAGTATCACAAACGGAAATAGCAATCCGTGCACTACTGTATCCGGTCTGAAGTACAAAGAGAGCCGGTATAATTACTGTGTAAATGCTGTGAACCCTTCCATCTTAGTCCATAGAAGCGATGACGCATATGTAACCTGCTTGATATTAGCTGCAGGTGTCCGTGACCAGCAGTATCCACTTACTACAAGGTGGATTTGAATTAGGTTTATGACTTTAATATTTAAAAAAAATTATTAAGCTGAGTCAGTGTGTTTTCTAATCTTCCACACAACCATTTACATTCTATTGGAATAGCAGTCATACACGGCTTATAATATTAAAAAAGCTGTTATAACTCGAAATACTTCGCGTGAGAAACACTCATACATATTTATTATATCTCATTCAGTTAAGCAATATAAATAGCATACATTATAAAAATATAAAACACACTTAAAAGTTCAATTGTGTCACCAAACCGGTATGTAATTAATTATTAAGGAACTTTTGCACAATTTTAGTTGATAATAGCTGTTGTTATCAAACGTTTTTGACAAGGTCAAGTCTTAACTTGGTGAAGCATGGTTACATTATCAGGTGCGTGGTAGAGTCATGTTGCAGCTTTATTATGCTTTGTTGTACGAACGTATAGGCTCGACCGGGGAAGGATCACACTCTCACAAAATACGAGCGGAAAAATAGCTGCTTACGTTGCTATGATTTTTATGGTGAGTGTAAAGAACCGTAGATCCTTTACACTGTTATTTCATTCATACATTCCATTTTAGTCCTCGGGGGTGAAAACGCATCTGCATTTTGATTCTTAATTGAGGATAGATGTATCCATGGGCTACAGCATCTACTTACCATCAGGTAGACTGGGTACTCGTCTGTCACCCTTCTAATAAAAGAATAAAAAACGTTGATTAAAACTACTTTTATCGATTTTATCGCGTTTAATTTTACTATTACTATTTTAAAATAAAATTAAACGCGATAAAATCCGTAAAAGTAGTTTTAATCAATGTGTAGTGTTCGCGTAAATATAAGAAATCATTAATAAAAAACAGTTTGTAAATGAATAAAAATTAAAACTCACTGAAAAGAAACTGTTATAACCTTCCTTAATTATATAAGTAAAGTAAAGTAAAGTTACAGCCTATATACGTCTCACTGCTGGGCATAGGCCTCCGCTCATTTCTTAAAGGGTTTTAGGGCAAGGAAGTGTCCGCCGCGCTGCCCCAGTGCGTGTTAGCGAACTTCACATGACTTCGAAATATTTTTTTTCTTATTCCTCAGACATGCAGGTTTCCTTACGATGTTTTCCTTCACCGCCGAGCACGTGGTGAAATCAGCACTTAAAATTGCAATTAGCAATTTCATTGGTGCTGGCGGGGATCGAACCCGGGTTACTCGCGTTCTGTTATATTTACAGCGAGCGTTAACCATCTGAGCTACCACGGCTCCTTACGTCCCTTAATTATATTAGCCGGTACAAAATAAACCAATGTTAACCAAATAAAAAAATATTGTTAAAAAATTTTGAAGAGACTTTATTAAATACTTTTACTATCAATGTCCGCGGCTATATCAAGATTTATTAAGTTGTTCGGTGAGATTAAAGGTTAGTATACATTTATCATAAAAATAAAAATAACACACAATTTATATTACAATAGAAGCTCTTCAATAGTCTATTTATACTTTACGATATTATATCACTATTATTTATTTCCTTATGATAGCCTATTCATTGTGATAGCCTCGTAGCTCGAAGTAAAGTCAGAAGTAGCAATTAAAACCGAAGTTAATATTAGATGTACCTAGTCATTTTAATAACGCAAATGCAATTAAAGACGGTCTTTTTAATTTACTATTCAATTAATAAGGTTTATGGAAAAATCATTTTTCAATTTTTTAAGCTTTAGTTAATTATTAATACAATCGAACGGATGTTTCAGGATTTCGTGTTTTAGTTCTAATATTTTAATTTATTTAATTTTTTAAGTACATTACTTTACACAAAATAATTATATTCAATATTTATTGTAAATACAAAAAACTAAAAATATCGTATAATCATCCTTCTTGTGGTAGTCCAGTGAAATAAAGTCTGAATTCAAAATTTCGGCACTCAATATATATAATGTAGTTTTAATGATACAAATCAATGTGTGTGTGGTTAAAAAAAGTTTCCAGAAGTGTTTTTTTTTCACAATTATTCGAATAGGATAAAAATTAGAGAAAAAGTTTTATTAAAAAATGTGTAGAGCTTAAAATTTTACATTAAAAAGTTTGTTTAACTTTTTTCCGCCTAACAAAATTAACCAAGTTAAGAAGGTTTTAAAATTAAGGAATGAACGTAATTTAAAAAAAAAACATAGGTAGTAGAAAAACAAGCGATTTTTTTAAATTGCTAAAAAAATCTATTCTTTAATTTTAGAGATACAGATTCGTTTTTATTGTTAAAAAATATGTAACGATTTGAAAAAAAAAATATACGTGACCCTATTTGACTGGACTAACAGTGCCAAGAAGCTGCCTTACTGCGCTGACTATACTTAGCCGTTGAGCGCGATAAGAACCAGCCATGTTGTACCCAGCGGCGGTAGGGTCAACGACATCACTTTATTTTAATTGTAATATTTATAATATATTATTAAAGTATAGATAAACCGATTTCTGGTATTTTCGAGTCCTTTGGCTGCCTTTTGGATTCTCTTACGCTACAAGATATTAATTTTTATAGTATAATATATATTCGTTAGTACGCCTATACAAATGACAGCGTAATTTCTGAACTTGACCGATTGAGGTCGTATTTACACAATATATTAGTTTTGTCGAGATGATGGTCCATTGCTCATGTTGTTTCATGTGTGTCATGTCATGATGGTTAATACTAGGACCAGATAGGTGACGTTGTCAATTTGTTAACAAATTCTATATTTATGTACCAAAATTATATATATTCTCAATATATATGACGCCAAAAAATGTTACAATTTGTACACGACAGGTGGCGGTGCGGACGAGGTAATAAAAATGTATGTTCACACTGTAAAAATGTGAGAGTTCAGAGTAAAAATCATCGTCTCAACAATGAACAACGTCTGCTAGGCCAGTTAGTTTAAGGTATATTATTACTACATTAACCTAAAGTCTTAATTTACCATTACCTGTACAGCCTATTAAAGTCCACTGCTGAAAAGAGGCCTCCCCCATAGATTGCCTCATTGGGGGGATATTTGCCACAGTTGCCACGCTTGGCAAACGGTTTGGCAACCGCAGTTTTTTATTTTTAGTCGTTATTAGGAAGACTTTCCTCTCCATCTACGTACCCACGGGATGATATTATGGGGTAGTTGATATTCTTACACGACTACTTCACGGTATATTATATTATGAGTATATTACGCGTCTATTATATTATGTATATTATAATATAGGTACTCGTATTTAAGCAATAACTTTTTATTACGCTATTTCCAGGTTATCATAACCTTTGTCAAGGCACGAGTAAAATAGTATATTTTTAACCTTTTGTCGTACGTTGACACATATATAGATATTTTTTTGTCTCTTTATTATCTTTTGTTTCGCAATTTCTTTGTAGGTTGCCATGACCCCGTGGCCTATTGATGTAAAAAATTTGTTTGAAACAAATTGTTGTTTTCGAATATAAACTTAGCTCCTTATCTTTTATTTTCACTCGGATTTACTTCACTATAGAAAATTATCTCATTTAAATGGGTTACTAGTGATAATTTAGGTGGTCAGTTCTTTATCTATTGTTTGAAAAGAATTGGGACGTATACTGGCCGTCTACCAGCCGTCCTCCTTTTCGAATTTTGTGGCAACAATTTCCGCTTTATAATATTTACATTCATAAACATAAACTGTCACCCACAGGGGTAGGCAGAGATTACGGACTTTTATTTGACACAAACCTCCTCTCTCGCCTCCGTTACATCTTTATACCTACGCATACATGCTCGTAGGTAAAGGTGCCCTTAATCTGGTTCATCTTCAATATATAAGTCATAACAATAAGGTAAATAAACTTTTTTTCTTTTTCTTTTATTTGTCGTTAAAAACGAATAATTTACACGTATTATTTGTCTACTAGCTGTCCTTCTTTTCAAGTTTTATCTTTATAACCAGTGGATGTGAAGTATTTGCGGCGTTAAAATATCTACTAACCCTATATCGTCTTGATGATGACACAAGAGGCGGCAGGGAAACAGAAATAAGCAGTAGCATCTTTCTGATAACAACCGAGAATAATAAAAAAATCTGGCTATCAATACACCTACTATCTAAGGGGAGGGCTAATGTTCGGCTGTGGAGCTTTCAGTTGGTACATTGTGGACAAAGTTTAGTTGGTACAGTAAATCAAAATCGGTCTGCCGTTTTTGACTGTCAGCAAGACTCACGGACAGCAATTGGTTTTTATATATCGAGAAGATAATTATGCATAGTTAATTCAATTTTTCGACTGCGTTTTGGTCTAGTGGCCGTCAGCGCGACTGTCGATCCCGACATATACGATATATAAGATATATGGTCGTATACGTGGTAGAGCCATGCTGCAGTTATATTAGTAGCATAGTTGTAGCATGAATGAGTCGGCTCGATCAGTAAGGACCAGTCTCTCTCAGAATACCAGCGTAAAATAGTAGCTTAATGCTGCTGTGTTTCGTATGGTGAGTGTAGAGAACCGGAGACCCTTTTTACTTTAAACGAAGTATTCCATCTTAGTCTGTATTTTGATTTGTAATCGAGGATAGATGTAGATGTCTATGGGCCACAGCAATGACGTATATATATATATATATATATATATATATATATATATATATATATATATATATATATATATATATATATATATATTATACCTTTAAACGAGCAATTCTTGTATATATATAATATAATCGGAATCTCGGAAACGGCTCCAATGATTTTCATAAAATTTTGTGTGAGGGGGAGTTTCGGGGGCAATAAATCGATCTAACTAGGATTTATTTTTAGAAAATTCGTGTCAATTGCTACAATATCGTTAAAATAAGAAGGTAAATTTTGACTGTTTATCAATGATTACGAATAGCGTAATTGGTATATTGTGCGGTCACAAAATCGTAATACCATGGTTCGAGCCCAGACCCCAACCGACCGACTTTTTAATTTTTTTTCAAGTTCCTTTCTTTTTTGAGAAAATCTATTTTTTCGAGCCCTTTTTATTGTATTTTTTAAAAACACGAAAATTTAAATTAAACTAATTGCACTCGTGATTTTTTATTCAAGTAACCAGTTCAGTTTTTTTTACTATGTCGCAAAGATCAAAAAATATTATTCGTATTTCATCAGTATGTAATTTGTATCTAAATATAATTTCCAAAACACACGAATTAAAAAAAAACCGAGCGAAAATACCGAGCAAAGCTCGGTCAACCGGGTACTATATATATATATATATATATATATATATATATATATATATATATATATATTTATATATATTTATATATATATATTTATATATATATAGAGAGAGAGAGAGAGAGTAAGCGAGATGTGCTTGCACATATGTACGTACACCCGGGCACTACAATCCTGTCCTGCGCAGATAGATAGTCTTCGTTGAGATTACCGCCTCGAATCAGTCTAGAGGATATTACAACTATATAAAAATTAAATTGCGTGAATTCTTACAATCATTGCAATATTCGGCACGACAATTTGTACGTCCTTATAATCTGCTATGGACTTCTCGCGCAAAAATTTCAGTTCGGTTTTCGGCCACATCGACATCACGCCCCGTTCCTTGTCAATGGTGATGTTACTGTTTGTGCGGATTTCTCTGGAAAAAATAAGAGTAGGTTAATTATGATTCTCTTATCTCGATTTCAAACGCTTCCCTTCGGAGTAAATAACATCATCTGTTCTGAGAGAGATTCACAAAGATTTAATGTCTAATTAAATTTATTAATTTTTCAGGCATGCAGGTTTTATAGTTAATTAATTTCAATAAACATTTCAGCCCAACAAATATTTGCTGCTCGAAATAGGCCTCCTGCAAAGATTGCCTAATAGACATAATATTTGGCATAGTTTGCCACGCTTAGCGAGTGCGTTGGCAACCGAAGTTATTTTCTTATTCAAAAGTCCTGTCCATCTCCTGGTTCAGTTCATTTCTCTCTCCTCATTCAACATCACGAGATGGTATGGGGTAATGGATACGCGGTCAAGTTGTTAGATATACAATAAAGAGTATTGTATTAAAGAGCCAGGAAAATTGCGTTATTCTATAACAAAGGATTAAATACCTTAACATTAATTTGCTTATATCCGCATAGATAAAATAAAATTATGTGTCTTGTATATGTATAAGTAAGTAAATTAGTTTTTATGATCGAAGTAATTCCTCATTGTATTAATTATATTCCGTATATTATTAATGCAATTGACGGAAGTTAATTTTTGTATAGATTATAATTCTACGAGCTTAGACTGCCAGGAGCATCATCTTTGTCACTGAATATGAGCGATTTTTTTTGTAAAATTAATAATAATTGTATGAAACAGCTAGCAAATGACGTAAGATAAATGCAAGTATATGCAAGAGATATAATATTGTATATTGCAGTGATTTCAATAGGAAGGATAGGCCCATCTAAATAATTTACTCATAACTATTTCATAGAAATAAAAGTAGCGCATCTGTCATAATACAAATGTCATATCAAAACACGACGTAACCAGGGTCGGATTTCGTAGTATAATTATCCTAATTGTATCATTATTTCATAGTTTGTATAATATAGTATCGTAATAATACAAAGCGAAAATACCCTAATTTTACCTAAAGGTCGACTTGTATTATTATTGGTTCCTTTTACGTTTTAATATTAACCCTACGATATCGAGATTTTTTTATATTGTACATGAGTACTTTATAAATTCTTTTTTGTTTTTTTTTCTTTTTGTGAACTGCGGTTAAGGTTTCAATTTTTGTACTCTTATTTTTCTTTTTACCCTTATTGGATATAAAATATATTAGGTACCATTATTCAAAATTTAACTTACCCTAAGTTCTTTAGACAAAAATGAAATAGAAATAAAAATCAAACCGTCGAAAAACGAAACGTATAGATAAACTAGACACGTGACGCCAAAATCCCGGCACATGTGAAAAAAGAAACATGAAACGTCAAACGTGATATAATTTTTTTAAATAGTATAATTTTAATTTCCATGTACAATATTTTTGAGAGTCTGAATCTAACCTTGGCCTAATCTTGGTAACGTAAATAGACTAATTGTAAAATCAAACTTTAAAAATGCGTTTATATAATAATTTAATTGTAACAAAATTAATATAAGGTTATTTACCGAAGACACGATATCCCATGTTTTTTAAGCCTTTGTTTCGTGAGTTTTGCATTCTTTTACCACGCAACTAGACATATTTATGACTGGCAAATCAGTCCTGCGCGCGCACTACTGTCGACCGATTCGCGTTGGCCCTAAACTGTAATTTTAGGGCCGGCGCACTGGTCCGTTTTAGTTGTTCGGTCGGCCCGGTCCTTACGCTAGTAATATATAAGTCAATGGTATATTGTGATTCGGTTGACTGGTGATATGAAAGGGTGTAAAGAATATAAGATTATGAGAGACTGGTTGGAGCGTTAAAACAGATAAGAGAAGAGAGCGTTGTACACGTATAAAGTTTCAGAAAGTAAGGAATCTTTATTCTTTATTGCACACACTAAAAGCTGGTAAACATTTTTGAATATTTTAAATAAAACGTGCAAAGGCGGGCTTCACTTTAATAAGAGTTCTCTTCCAGCAAGCCCTTTGGAAGACAGAAATAGTTTTATTTCAACTAGGTAGCAGCGTGCGTCCTTAATAATTAACAAAACACATATTAATAGAAATTGGCCATAAGTTAAGGCTAATAATAAAGATTTATGTATTTAAAATATAGGTGTATTTTCTTTTCTATATCTATTAATTAGAAATGGAAAAGAATATATATATATATATATATATATATTTTATATTTTTTTTTTTTTTTTTTTTTTTATGAGAACATATTGTATATATAAATACATAGAGCAAAGCAACGTTGGAAAATTTATTTTATATTTGCTGTGATTTGTATATAACAATAGAGTTTTGTATCGACGTTTCAGGGGCAAAGGACATCACATTTTGACAAAAAAAGTGAAGTTCTTTTGTTCCAGACTTAGAGTTAATTACAAAAAATGTATGGGATGATCTTTCAGAGGTCACACGTCGTCTACATGTTTACAATTTAAATTTAACACATTGAACAATATTTTTAAATCAATTATATATTATCTCAGATCTATTGTTTGCTGACCTGTGACCAACAATGAAGATAGACAGGACTGTAAAACGTTTAAATTGACGCTGAAATCATGTTCAACTTATGCCCACTTTGCACTCTAAACTATGTTGTCTATTGCAAAGATTTTAGGTGAATAACATGAGTGCGTGAGTTCTTAAATTTTTATAGAATAATGGTGACAAACGAGCACCCATCTAGTCCATCTGATGGTAAGTGATTACTGTGGCCCAAAAACATCTACATTTATCCTCGTATTTGATTAAGAATCAAAGTGCAGATGCGTTGTGAGCCCTGAGGACTAAGATGGAATGCCTCGTAACCAGTAAGAAGGTGCTGCAGTTCTCTACACTTATCATAAGAAACATAGCAATATGAAACTGCTATTTTACGCTGGTATTCTGTGAAAGCGTAGTCCTACCCTGGCCGAGCCGACACATTCGTGCTACAACCATAATATAGCTATGGCATAGTAATACCATATAGCAAGTTCAGCAGGGTTTAGGGTCACTGATGTGCATATATTATTGCGCCTATCTTGACTTTAATGAGTCTGAGTTGCTGACATAATCTCAAGCATATGTGCTTGACCTTCAACTGTGCACGAATATTAAAACTCGTAAAATTTTATTATTGTTATAGAATCAGGACGTCAAGCGTGCACACAAACCACTTGATAGTAAGTGAATCCTATATAAAGAATTATAATGCAGATGTGTTCACTCCTAAGGACTAACATAGAATTCCTCGTAACCAGTAATAAAGGGTCTCTAGTTCTTCATACTCATCATACTTTACTATAATACGTATTAAAAATGACGATGCAGGTAATTATCAAACCCGCGGCAGCTCAGGAGATAAACGCTTATGGTAATTTCATAGGACGCTAGCATACCGCAGTCTAACCCCGCCGAAACGTTATGAAATTGTTAATTGCAATTGAATGTGTTGATTTATTACGACTCGTCGGTGAAGGACAAAATCGTGAGGAAACCTGCATGGCTGCTTTCAAAAGTGAGAGACCTGTGCCCAGTGGTTATTAAAGGTATTTAGACCGTAAATTTGATTTTATTTAAAAGGCGTATATTTCTTTGTTTATATTTGTTTATATTATGCCTGTTGTACTTTCTTGTCTTATATTAAATTGTATATATTAACTTCATAGGCTTTTTTTGATAACACTGAAGATACGAAAAGCATTTTCTGGCAAGGTATCCGTTGAAGTTGGAAACTAACAATGCTTTTAACATTACTATTATCCCTGAAAAGTCCCGAGTTTGTATCCCGGTTCGGGCCAAAATCAATTATTGGGTTTTTCTCTCGAAAAATTCCCCGTACCTCGGAAAGCACGTAAAGCTGATGGTTCTGCACCAGATCTCTCGCCGGTCATATCGGATTACTATGAGAGTGACGAAATAGTAAGTGCTTACGAATACAAACTAGTCTACAATGAGACCCCTCCGTGACCGATATTTGGTCTGGAGGACATTATTATTCCCTAAAATCACTCCCGGACCCTATCCAATAAAAGTTACAACGTGTAATATCAATTTATGTTTTATATTTCTGTTCAATAAAAATTAAAAATTACTAAATTTTCATGATGAACAATTTACGAATTCACACAATTGTAGCTACAATTTTATATAATATTTCCCATTCAACAAAGGCTAAATTGACATGTTTAAAATTTATAATTTGTTTCTTTTAAAAGCAAAATATTCGTTTAAAGTTTACATTATTGTTTTCCAGTATTTTAATTATTATTTGTTATTCAGAAGACGCTGAGATCTATTTTTGGTTCATTTCTCTCTTTCGCCTCTTATGATATGGGCTCGAAGATAGTCTTACATCGCCACTAAACAGCCACCACACCAAACCACAAACTTAAATTTGAATAATTCCAATTTATGTTAACGCAAAAATATTTTTGTAACATAATACATCATCGTCATTACCCTTGCCCTTCACAAGTCTACTGCTGAATATAGGAAACCACTACCAAAAGGAAAGTGACATAGGATGGTCATGAGCAACCTGTATGTATTGACTTCCTCAGTATGCAAACATTACTTGTTACCAGTGATAGATATAGATCTGAGACGTGGTCATTTACTGAGCTTTCATTTGCTCGGCATATGGGGAAGCTCAAGATGACTCAGCGAGCTATGGAGGTTACTATGTTCGGAGTCTTTTTGCGTGATAGATAGAACCAGAGAGACTGACATAGCCCAACAGATTAGTAAGCGGAAGTGGCGATGGGCCACCCATATAGCTAAAAAACTAACAACGGATAGGGAAGAAAGTTTCTCGAGTGGCAGCCGCGTACTGGTAGTAAATTTAGTGTAGGTCGGTTTCTCGCTAGATGGAATGACGACCTGGTAAAAGATTATTCATTCATATAACGCTGCTGAACAGAGGCCCCCCAAAAGATTGCCTCATAAGGGAGATTACGCCACAGTTGCCACGTCTGGGAACTTCAAATTTTAACTATCAGGAACTTGCTGGTTCCCATTTCCCGTTTCAATTACCCTCCGTCGCCTCTTAAGACACCCACGAGACGAAATGGGTCAGTGGATATTCTAACACTGACGCTTCATGGTAGGTTAAAATGATAATATACGAGTAGTAACAAATAAAAGATAATAAAATAACAAATTTAACACTACTTACTGAAACGTGAAGGGTCCAATCTCTTGCAGTTTCATGGCTTTGTCGCTCCCCTTCAAATACTCATCCACGTTAGTATAATTAAAAACGTGGACCTCGGAAAACAGCTCGTACGTCGGTTTTTGCCACATGCGATATATAAACTTGCCCTCCTTTATATCGAGATACTAAAACAATAGAAAGGCATGTTGAGAACTCTTTTTTAATAAAGTTATAACTTTTTACTGTTCTAAATATTTCATGTATATTTTTTGTTCTATGAATAAAGACACACAATAGAAATAGATTAAAAATGAACACATTAGCTGGCAAGTATTCCACAGAAAGAATCACAATATTACAGTATTGTGATTATTTCTGTGGAATACTCTTTTAAATATGGGTGACAAACGAGCAAATACACCTGATGGTAAGTACTCGTAGATGCTGTGGCCTGTAGATATCTACATTTATCCTTGATTAAAAATCAAAACGCAGATGCGTTGTCACCCTTAAGAACTAAGATTGAATGCCTCGATACCAGTTAAAAGGGTTTTTGGTTATTTACACGGACCAAAACATAAGAAATTTAGACTGCTATTTCACGCTGATTATTATCTGTGAAAGCATGTTTTACCCTGGTCGAGCCGAACTATTCGTGCTTACAACTATAATAATATAACCTATAAATAAAAAATGACCATAGTGGCTCCAAATCGCGTGTGTTTGTTATAATATAATTGTAATTATGAAGTCTTTTTATAATAGTTTTGTTTCTACGTTCCCATATAACATTTGGATGTTATTACCTTTACAGTAGTGTTGCATCATAGCAATTTGTAAATTAAAGTTAATTTCTTGCCTTGACTCACTTTACTTTTGATAATGCGTCATTTACTTTGGTAACATTGTTGAGATTTTTATACCTATAATTTGAATATAATAAAGGTAAGTTAAGGGAAAATATAATCTCAAATGGCTTAGCAAGATCCTTCGTTATGTCGAAAATATTGCAGCATTAATTTTGAAATAAATATATGGTAAAGTTGAGGATTAATGTTAAGGATTATGTTAGACGAAAACACGATTTCGTAAAATTTTCTCGATAGAAAAAAAATCTAAAGTTACCTCCAAAATAAACAATAAACCGCTGTTATTCATAAAATACTTTAAATAAGATCATGAAACTTTACATACTAACTGAACTAACTATAAAACAGTGCTTATGTTATTTACTTTTTTTTAAATACCATTATTTTCACTGTAAAAAGAAATTACCTAAATTATCGGTGTCTTGAAGCTTGATTCCTGCCGCCCGGTTAGTATCGCTTCGGCTTTTGAAGGGGGAAGTTGTGTCGCTTACAATCAGAATATACATTACGCAACAGGACGACGTAAAATTAAAATGGGAAATAACCGTAATAAGAAGCGACTGGCTTGGCGTTAAGAAACAGGCATAAATATGATAAACCTAAATAAATAAGTGTCTAACGACCTTTCTACTTACAGTATTAGTGATTACAAACATGTCGGTACATAGCATACGACGCGCGGGCAAGTGGGAACGAAATTAGAATTTGAGCTGACTTACTCTATCCCCTTAAGCCTTTATTTTATAATTGCCGTGCATGCGGTGCGGCAGCGGCAAAATAGAATCCATTCCGCCATTTTTATTTTCGTCGCTGTAGTAAAAGGTAGAGCTACGCAGTAGCTTTATTAAGGATGTAGCATGAATAGATCGGCTAAACTGGGGTAGGACCACACTCACACCACGCTTTGCTTAGTATGGTGAGTGTAGGGAACCAAAGATCCTTTTTACTAGAAACGAGGAATTCCATCTTAGCCCTCAAGGATGACCACGCATCTGCATTTTGACTCAAAATTTTTTACTCGTGTTAGAGCCACGCTGAAACTATATTATGGTTGTAGTACTGATGGGTCGGCTCGACCGGGGAAGCACCACACTCTCACAGAATACCAGCGTAAATTAGTAGCTTAATGCTGTTGTGTTTCGTAAGGTGAGTGTAGAGAACCGGATACCTTTTTTACTGGAATCGAGGCATTCCATCTTAGTCCTCAGGGGTGGCAACGTATCCATTACTATCAGGTGAACTGCGCACATTTGTCCCTCTTATTCTTTATAAAAAAAGCTTCTTGGGAAATGCCAGAAAAAGCTCATGGTTTCCGATAAATTGAAATGTATGGTACGTCCGTGCCAACTTGCAAGTAAAGGCTGAAAATCTTTTAGCTGACTTCAAAAATGAACTCTGGTAACGAGGCATTTCATCTAAGTACTCAGTATTGAAAATGAATTCTACATTTTGATTTTTGATCGAGGATAGATATAGACGTCTATGGGCCAAAGCATCTACATACTATCAGGTGGACTGTGTACTCGTTTGTCATTCTTATTCTTTAAAAAACAGAGAATGCTCGCGATTCGATTGTATGTAATTTTTTTGTTTGTATCTAACGTGATATTTTCGATAATTGTGAAACAATTTTCATGATATTTTATTTTAATAGGTCATTTAGTAGTAATAAGGCATTTTTTTTAAATAAAATATATGCAATGACGTTTGTATTGCAACTTATTGAACCATATCCTACTTACCGTTACCACTACAGCATATTAAAGTCCAATACTGAACATAGTCCTTCGCCCATAGGTTGCCTCATAGGGGAATATTTACCATATTTATCCTTATAAGTGCAATAATATTCTAGTTATCGCACGGAACAGCATAAATAAGTGAGCTTTTAATAAAAATTAAAAAACTTTCTATCCTTTTTGCAATGCCCTATATTTAAGTACAGTTTTCAGAGGCTATTGAGTTAAAATTATGTTATATTCCTTTTAGTTTTTGTATTTCATATCCATTCAGTATTTACAGACTAGGTTTTGTACGATTCACTTTATCTCCAAGTACGTGGTTGATTGGTAGGGTAAGCTACAAGGCATTAAGTGTATTTGTAATCATTTTTGTTAAGATCTTGTAAATAAAATAAAACTATTTTTTATTTAAATTGCGATTTTATCATGTTTATTTTAATCTTTTTAATTTCTGGCCATTGCGGCGCTTTAAAGCACCCAAGATCACTTCAGTCTCTCTGTGACTATGAGTGCTTAAATTAAACGCAGTAAAATCCGTGGAATTAGTTGAATTTGCCGTGGATAATAAGAGGGATATAAAAATTCATAAAGTTGTTGTAAACATTAAAGTGGATAAAGTAAAAGAAATAAATGGGAGAGTCCAGCAGTAGAGTCAAAGAGGTTGATGATTTTTGTATTAGTATCTTAATGCAAGTTTATTTTTTATAAAAAAAACAGCAGAACCGATTATCAACAAATTACAGGTAAGCTGTGTGCAATGAATCGTGTGAAACAAATAATATTGGTTCAGACATGAGACGTATTTTACAACTAGCAAGAAAATACCAGTACTGTGTGTTTATTTCTAATTGAATTATATTATAAACAATTTAATATAAATGTTTTACATTCATGGATGGCTTTGTTCGTATACACGATAAAGGCTATTATTGTAAAAGAGCGATTTATTACATATTGACATTAAGCATGCATTGATAATTGTCCGGTGATATACAAGCGGCAACACGTGGAGAGGTCAGTGTACGATACTCTGTAGGTCGGGGTCAAACAACCTAATTATGTAAACTGCATACCGCATACCGCATTTAATAAATGTTTCTTGTAATTATCTGCGTATTAGTCTTCTACGTTTTCCTCTCAATTACAAAACAATCTATATAATTACAAAAAATTGCGCAATTTGATAACTCACCAGGACGGGAAACTGACGGTAAAATTACAGAAAATCTCAGAAAGTTGATCGAATTTCGTTAAGCAAAATCGAGAGAGATAGTTTAAAGGATATATTTATAATTGAATCAGTCACTGTAATCAAGACAACATACAACCAGTGATTTTTCAGAATCGATATAAATGCCAAAAAATATTCAAAGTTTTTTAATCAACAAGGTTAAAAGTTTTATTAAAGAAAAATTGTACAAAATGGTTCATTATAATATCAAGGAATAAATGAATGAAAATAACCCCTAGGAATGAGGTGTTCGTCACCGTGCTATTAAAATTCATATAAAAATTGTACAAACTTATTGTCAAGTTAAGTATATGTGCTTACAAAATTATAATACCGCTGGGTTTCTCGCTGGTTCTTCTCAGGACAGAGGTATTTTCCGAACCTGTGCTAAATAAAAAGTGAATTTCAATAAGTATTATGTAATAATCTTTATTGAATAAAAACTATTATATTATATTCTTTACAACTTAGGGACCTTCAAGAAACGAGATTAATCCTGTTGCAGCTATTCATCGGTAGTTAATACTTACCATCAGATGGGCCTCATGCTCGTATGCCCCTTCCTCTATATAAAAAAACATACACCAACTGACGTAACTTCTACTTCCTTTCTTTTTTCTTCATAATATAAATGGAAGTCCGAAGAACCGATCAAAATAAAGCTTTATTTTGTTATACTATTGATAGAAATAATTTGATATAAGTAAATAGTGTCACGGCAGTTTATCGGCTGTAAAGCAAACTCTACTGACGAAAGAGTTTGCGCAACAGATCCTGTTTTATTTGAAATAAAAATAAGTACTAAGTAAAAGCTTGCCCTACTTTGCGCTTACCGCATTCCAAAGCGATACGTGCGATAATTTCGGTATTTTGTCAATTCATCTAACTAATCTAGACCTGGGTTTTGAAAAATCAAATTCTTTGAAAAACTCTGAGTATAGCCCATCCAAAGCTCCGATTCGATTACTACTTTTTATAGTATATGGGTGCCAAACGAGCACACATTCCACATGATAGTAAGTGGATGATGTGGTTCATAGGCATCTACATTTATCCTCAATTAAAACGTTGTTACACCTGAGGACTGAGATGGAATGCCTCTTTTCCAGTAAAAAAAGGTCTCCGGTCCACTACACTCATATTACGAAACACAGCAACATTAAACTGCTATTTTACGCTGGTATTATGTGAGAGCTTAGTCCTACCCTGATCGAGCTGATCCATTCGAGCTGTAACTATGGCTCTACTATAACTTTTTCTTACTATTAAAAGAAACGAAATTACGGTCCGCCTGAAGGTAGCTCACTGCAACCCACGCATGATATTTGATTATTTTTACATAA